AAATGCTCCCCCTCCATTGCAACAGGAGCCACGTTTTCGAAGGGGAGTAATTGCATCTGGAGAAAGAATCTGAGATCTCGTCCCTCTGTTTCAATCTTTTTAAAAAAAACAACCACCCATCCGTCTCCTCTTTTAAATCAATTAGATCAGCGTGTTTGATAAAATAGCATCAGCTTCCAAGGGATTAAGGAAGGTGAAACCAGTTCTCCCCTGTGAACAAACAGGTCATCCTTAGATGGAAACGGCTTCGTCTTCCTTGAGAAATGGTCTGTTATTTGTGTTGTTTGGATCACCCCGTAAATATTTTATGTCTTCCTCTTACTTTATCCGTGCAATTGAGCTGGCAATTCTGAGTATTTTTTAACCAGAGTTTTGGGGGGGAGGAGAAGTGCCACATTAGTGGGGCTGAAGCAACATAGCCACCTTTCAGTCGTCATGGAGAGAGATGATGTAGGCGCGATGGGATGTCATCTTTGGAAATCCTGTTGGAATCTCTTCCCTTCCCACACACTGAGGAATTATCTTTATGGCTAATCCCACCCTTTTTTTTTATTATTAAATCAAAGCTGTGACTGCACCGATGCAGCTGAAAGAACCAATAATAGAAGCTTTCTGTGCTTATCCCTACTCTGAATCAGAATAACAGAATTACAGAATAACAGAGTTGAAAGGGGACTTGGAAGTCTTATAGTCCAATGCTCAACTCAAGCAGGAGACCCTAGATATCATTCTGGACAAACGGCTATTCAGTCTCTTCTTAAAAGCTTCCAGTGATGGAGCGCCCACAACTTCTGAAGACAAGCTGTTCTACTGATTCATTGTTCTCAGTGTCAGGAAACTTCTCCTTATTTCTAGGTTGGGTCTCTCCTTGATTTAGTTTCCATCTGTTGCTTGTTATCCTGCTTTCTCTGTCTGGAGGACAAGAAGTAACGCGATCCGAGCAGTGAATCTTATTTATTGATAAATGTGGGCTCGAACGGTAGATGTCTCCTTGCTTTCTTTGTGAAGGCATTCTCAGTCTAGCCTTAGAAGTGGAATACGTTCTTCCAGCAGGCTTGACTTAAGGAATGATTGACTGTTAAAGAATGTCACTTAACTGCTTTGACAGAGCAAATCAGTGGCCCTTCTTGGTATTTAGTGATGAATAGGAAGTCCAAAAAGGGAAGGAAGTGTCCTTCAAGAAGACACAGAGGTTCTTCAGCATTGCCCAACTGAGTGACGGAAACGTTTCCCCCTTGGACCCTTTTAGTCATTAGGCAACCTTGGGTCTTCACTTAGTCCTTGTCCTTTCTTTATGTCCTTTGAGAACAAGTGGGAAGTGAAAGCGGTGAGTGACGGTGACACATGTCACCCTGACTTCCCTCGAAGGTTGACACGCCATAATTTAAAAATACGCTTGATTGTATCGAGGCTTAGTTCTTGTGGAACCTATGAAACAGATCCAGCAGGTTTAGCATCAATTGTACTGGTTTATTGCTGGTTTGGAGGTCCGGTTGTAAGAATCGCGGTTCCAATAACATCTGGAGATTGAAGAATTGAAGAACAAGGAACCAATTTGTGGATCCAGGTGATGGGACAATTGACAATAGAAGCCCAGGAAAACTCAAATGCTGAAGAGCCAATCGGGAGCTGGGAGTTTTCTGCTCTCCAATAAGCTTTGAGAAGAGGAGGGGAGCTGCCTTTGGCTTTCATCTTCTTCCTTACCAGTTGGAGGTCTCCCCCCCCCCCCCCCCCCCGCAGGGATAGCTGAGCCTCAGGTAAGAGAAGAATCCCTAGTGATAAGGGATTGGCTTTAAACTCAGAACTGCCGGCTCAATTGTGCTAATAAAGGTAGAGGCGAACGAGAGACTAAAGAAAGCTAAATGCTGGTTTGAAGTTTATTTTATTTTATAGGCTGTGATATCAGCTGTGGGGCTTCCACAGTCAAGGAGCAACGATTGAAAAGTCATTGGTCCACCTTTTTTTGTCTGTTTGCTTCCGTTCTCCTTTCGTGCCTTCTCTCTCTAATTCTTTATCCTTAATGTAGGATTAAAGACTTCAATACTTAGTGAATCAGCAATGCTCAGTCTGGGAAAAGCCTTTAGCCATGTTTTCTCCCTTTGCTTAAGCTGTGGATAAAAAGAAGATTTCTCTCTTTCTAAATAAAGTAGACAGAGAGGGATTTTTCTGGGGGGAAATAGTGGATAGTAGCAGGATGAAGGGGTATGCAATAAGAATGTGGGTGTGGGGTTTAGAGGCTCTCATGGAAATTAGTGACTACATTCTGTGTGTGTCTGTGTGTCTGTGTGTCTGTACACATGTACTTATATGTATCCCTTAGAATTATTTGGTGGCAGCTGTGGGGTGAACTGTCTACAGAAATCGGACATTAACTGAAAAGTGGAATGAATGAATGAATACAGTATGATAAGGAAGATTTTGAAGAAGCAATTGGACAGCCGTTTGTCTGGAATAATGTAAGGTCTCCTCCTCAAGTTGGATTAGATGTCCTTCAAGGTCCCTTCCAACTCTGTTAATCTGTAGGTTAATGCTGAAGGAGTAAATAAGACTCTAATTAGTATTATCAGCCTCACTAGTAGACCTGATGAGAACACCCAATGTCATAAAAGAAATAAAAAGTGCAGAGAAGAGCAACTAAGACAATTAAAGTCAAAGTCAAAAGCCTTTATTGTCATTGTACATCATGTATACAACGAAATTGGTTAAAGACCTGGAGACTAAAATTTACGAAGATCAGTTGCAGGATTTGGGTATTGATATTTTAGGCCAGGGGTCTCCAACTTTGCTGGCTGGGGAATTTTGGGAGTTGAAGCCTGCCAGACTTAAAGTTGCCAAGGTTGGAGACCCCTGGTCTAGACTAGTGAAAAGAAGGACTAGGGGTGACATGATGGCAGTGTTCCAGTATGTGAGGGGCTGCCACAAAGAAGAGAGGATCAACCTCTTCTCCAAAACACCAGAAGGCAAGATAAGAAGCAACAGATGGAAAACTAATCAAGGAGAGAAGCAACCTGGAACTAAGGAGAAATTTCCTAACAGCGAGAACAATTAGCCAATGGAACGGCTTATATCTTGAAGTTGGGGGTTTCCATCGATGGAGGTTTATAAGAAAAGATTTGTCCAGAATGGTATAAGATCTTCTATTTCAGCAAGGTTTTGGACTAGAAGATCTCCAGGGTCCCTTTGAATTATGTTATTCTGTTTTATTCTTTTTATTGAATAGAATATAATTTTTTATTGGCCAAGTGTGATTGGACACACAAGGAATTTGTCTTGGTGCAAATGCTCTCAGTGTACATAAAAGAAAAGATACGTTCGTCAAGAATCATAAGGTACAACACTTAATGATAGTCATAGGGTACAAATAAGCAATCTTTTTATTGTTTATAGGGATTAGTGGGATCCAATCCATTTTATCCCTTGTGTGTGTGTGCAAGCCCCATTAAATTCAAGTTCATTTCCCCCACCCCCACCCCTCAAAACTCACTGGGCTAGTCATCCTTTTTCAGTGTAAGCTGCCCCACAGGATTGCTATTAACAGAGAAATATTGTGAAGGGAAATCTCCAGGTAAGGTGCTTTGAGAAAAATAATAGAATATATATTTAGCATATCCCTTCTTTTCTTTTTAAATTATTAGTTACGATTTCTCATTCTGCACTTGATATTTCTGCAGTGCATACAGTTATTTTCTTAATTCCTCTTTTACCCACTGGTACAGAATAACGCTTGGGGGTCAGGGAGAGTAGGAAGGAGGGCTAATCTGGATTGCATTATATTTAAACTGTTACAAGCATTTGCTTACCCAGCCCATACTGTGTTTGAAAAAATATTGAAGTTCCATTATATCGGCACAAATTGCTTTTGAAGGTTGAGGCTATAATTTCACTTAAAGTTCCCAGTACAATACGTTATTTAAAATGATGTTGGTGGTGTGTTTTATATGGCATCTAACGCAACATGGTGATTTTACATACATTTCTCAACCGTTTTTAAAACCACGTGGGCTTTAGTTCCCCTATGCTGGCTAGGGAATTCTGGGAGTTGAAGTTCACACATGCTAAAGTCGACCAGGTTGAGAAACTCCAGTGTTGTTGTTGTTGTTGTTGTTAGTTGCGAAGTCGTGCCTGACCCATCACAGCCCCATGGGCAAAGTTCCTCCAGGCCTTCCTGTCCTCTAGAGTCCATTAAAGCTCACCTCGACTGCTTCAGTGACTCCATCCAGCCACCTCGTTCTCTGCCGTCCCCTTCTTCTCCTTTTGCCCTCTATCATTCCCAGCATTCGGCTCTTCTCCAGGGAGTCCTTCCTTCTCCTTAGGTGGCCAAAGTATTTGAGTTTCCTCTTCAGGATCTGGCCTTCTAAAGAGCAGTCACGGTTGATCTCCTCTAGGACTGACCGGTTGGATCACCTTGCAGTCCAAGGGACTCGCAGGAGTCTTCTCTAGCACCAGAGTTCAAAGGCCTCAATTCTTTGGCGTTCAGCCTTCCTTATGGTCCAACTTTCACAGCCCTACATTGCATCTGGGAAAACCATCGCCTTGACTAGACGCACTTTTACACCGGTGTACACTATGATTAATCTTAGGCAAAAGGCTGAAAAGTGAATATCTTGATAAGTAATTCTGTTGTTATTGCAAAAAAGAACTGTGCGTGCGCAGTATGTGAGGGTTTTGAGTTCACAGCTAGATAAGCCCTTTATGCTTCTAGTCTGTTGATAAATTGACATATCTGGGCTTTATATACTGTAATGGAGCTGGAACCTGAGTGTATAACCAAATCCTGAAATCCTGAAGTGTATTTTTATTCCATGATGAGGGGAGGGGAAAAAAGTCTCTTTTACATTAAACTGAACATGGCCGAGTCATCCCTCAAACATGTAATAGTTCTCGAAAGTTGCTGGTTTTAAGGGATACTTCCATATGGTCAACTTGACTATGTTATTTATTTATTTATTTATTTATTTATTTATTTATTTATTTGTTGTTTTTAATCCTTCGCCAGATAGAACTTTCTGGAATGGAAGATGGAAGACAGAGGATCTCGGGTTGCTGACTATTTTGTGGTGGCGGGATTAACCGATATTTCTAAACCACTTGAGGAAGAAATTCACTTCAACGATGCTTGTCATAAGCTCGCAAAGCCCAAAGAACCAATCACAGATGTGGCGGTGATAATTAAATCTCTTGGGGAAGAGGTCCCTCCTGGATACAAATGCATCGATGTCACTCCGTCAGGACTGTCTGCTGATCTCAACAATGGCAGCCTCATGGGACCCCAGATATATATGTGCTACAGGAGAGGAAGGGACAAACCCCCACTTACAGATCTGGGGTAAGTCCGTTTTTCCTTACTAGTTTATTGTTCTGGGGGAGCCTGGCAGGAATTGGAGGAGGATTTAATATAGCATCCGTAGGGAATGAAATGGAAGGTGTTTTGAATAGGGTGGGCAAAGAATTTGAAATAAAGCTTTTGTAACGTATGTCAGGAGAATAAAACACCTGCATTTGGAGCTTTAAAGCAGCTGCATCCTTCAGGAGGATAAATGCGGCCGTGTTGATGGCTTTCCGGCATTTGGTGTACATCCATACTCGCTTCTACTGAGATCACTATTGAAACGAAGAACCAGAGAAAGTCTTTGAAACAGTTACTCTGAGCTTTTTCATGGAATCACAAAATCATAGGGTTGGAAGGGAGCTTGGAGGTCTTCTAGTCCAACCCCCTTTAAATTTGGGGTTTTACAAATTGGGCCTATTATTTAATAATTTTAATAATTTTAAAATTTTAATTATTTTTAAATTTTGTCTGTCTTTGTGTTTTTAATTAGGCTGTACACCACCCTGAGTCCTTCGGGAGAAGGGCGGTATAGAAATAAAATTAATAAATAATAAAATAAATCTTATACCAACCCAGACAAACAACTGTCCAATTTCATTTTTTAAAAACCTCCTGTGATGGAGCACCCACAACCTCAGGAGGAAAGTGGCTCCATTGGTCAATCATTCTCATGGTCAGGAAATCTCCTTAGTTGCAAGTTAGATCTCTTCTTGATGAGCTTCCATACATTACTTCTTGTAATGGATGGAATTACAGTTGCTTTGGAGAATAGGTCGACCCTCTCTTTTTTGTGACCGCCCCTCAAGAAGGGGTCCTATTCTGCAGGTTCTGACAGGTTCTGGAGAACCGGTAGCGGAAATTTTGAGTAGTTCGGAGAACCGGCAAATACCACCTCTGGCTGGCTCCAGAGTGGGTTGGGAATGGAGATTTTGCAATATCCTTCCCCCAGGAGTGGGGAGGGAATGGAGATTTTGCAGTATCCTTCCCCTGCCACACCCACCAAGCCATGCCGGTAGTAAAAAAGTTGGAATTCCGCCACTGCCCTCAAGTACTGGTATTTGAATATACTTTTGAAGGAGGTAGTATTAAACACTTTAGGAGGGAGGCCCTGCTTTCATAGTCCTAGTTTTTAAATGGGGAGGGGAGGAAATAAGCGATGAGCCAAAAGGAGAAAAATACAATATAATGATTTTTCTATTTAAGTGGTAGCTGACTTAAAGCCACTATGGAGAGATGCTTGATTTTAAAATGAAACACAGCTATTTCAGAAAAGTGATAGGACATCTATTGATCTGTTCATCTCTTGCATTTTTAAACTGCCCAGTTATCATAATTTCATTGGGTTTGTGTGTGTGTGTGTGTCTGTGTGTGTAAAACCTATGTATAAAATAAACCAACCAAAACCACCAAAAAAAGCAGCGTTATGGACATAAAATGTTCAGCAGCAGCGATAAGAGCTGATAAATTGATTACAAAACAAGCAGCAAAATCACAGTCTATCACTATGAGACCTGAGAAAATTGCAGAAGATTTTTTACCATGATGCTGGAATGATCATAATGTAGGTGTCAGGTTGGCCTCTCTTGGGAGAGTCTCAGATGAAGATTACACAGTTTGGATGAGCAAATGTAGAATGGAATTATCCTTTGGATAGGCAGATTTCAAGATACCTAAGACTTCTTAGTTAAATCACCATTTTGAATTGTTTCCACCTATGCAGAGATAGGTCAAAGATCATTGTGCCAGGCTGAGAGCAGCACACTGCCTTAGCTCATGTGCTGTGGATCTTGCCTGCTTGTATGATCTCATTTTGGCTCTGATCTGCATTATCTCACCTTGCCTTCAGAGGATGGCATCTTGAGAGGGGGGTGAATAGTTTCTACCAATTAGGATGCTGTTGCTTGCCTGCCTTTTTGTCTGCCTGTAAAAACTGTATAAAAAATAAAGCTCTCTGCAAGAGCGAGAGAGACATCTTTGATCAGAGCAAAAGCCTGGACCTTTGATTTATAACACACCTATGCATATGTATGTATAGCTTTGCCCAATCTGAGTTAGCAGTCTACCTGTTTTGTTTTAAACGAACTGAAGTTTAGTTTGTAAAGTTTGCCCATGTATAAATTTTATATTCTCATGTAATTTGTAGTGTGATATAATCAAGCATAAAATAAAATAAAATCCAGGGTGGTGCGATGGCTCAGCAGATGAAGATGCCGAGCTTGTCAGCTGGAAAGCTTGGCCCGGGTTTGTCACCCGAGTGCCTCATAATGGGGTGAACTCCCATTCCTGCCTCAGCTCCTGCTGTCAAGGTTCCGACTGACGAACCCAACCAAGCCAGCAAATTGAGACAATCGGATCTCTTTAAGCACAACTTTATTGAGTACGTTAAGGAATTCGCAGAGTAACCCCTGAGTAGCAAGGGTGTGTACATGAAAGCGATTGAGAGTAGTTACGAATAAACACAGCCAACACACAAATACACTGAGTTGTGTTTACTTTTAGGAAATAGTAAGGCACAATCCAATAAACAGTCAAGGTCATACCCATATAAAGCAGGAGATATCAAAACAACAGTCCAGGGATAATCCAATAACAAAATCTTCTTACCAGTCGTCGTAGTCATTCACAATTTGCAAACAGTAGCATACAGAGATATTCAGAGAGTAAGAACAGCAAAGAGAAACAAACCATGTTTCTAGCTCCCCTTTAAGGAGATTGGCTACAGAGCTAACCAATCAGGACACAGTCTGATGCAATACAGAAGTCTTAAAGCTACATTGATGGTTTATATATTGCCAACCCAAAAAGTTAGGTAATAGTCATTTCCTAACAGAGTACATCATTTCGGCACGCATGAAGCAAAACCAACTCTAGCTATTTCCCGCAGTTTTCACCTAATTAAAGAATAGATCCTTCTCTTCCCCTCCTTCGGCCAGGTGACATTGTCCAGTTAGGTGCTGTGGTGTCTCTATGGCAACTCTTTCAAGTCCTTGCCAAACATCTGTTGGGATGACATTGATTCCCACAGGACAATTTCTGTTGTGACCCCGACTCCCGAGCCTGTCCTAACAGAGGAGGAGGGCTCAGAAGGTGATGGGGAGGAACTGACAAGGCCTCCCTCTCCAGGACCCTCCTTTCTGGCAATGCCTCAGGTTCCATCCGAAGGCCAGGAGGAACAGCCTGGGATGTGCCAGGAGGAAGGCATATCGGAACAACAACAGATAGGGGGCGAGGATGATGAATCCTGGCTTGATCCCAGGCAGCGTCGGAGGGAGAAGTGTGCGCAGCAACGGAAGAGGCGTGGGAGGGCCAGAGATTGAGCTGAGTCACGGAGCCACGCCCCACCAGAAATAAAAGTGGGTGGGATTGCTCTTCAGGTTTTGTGACGGACAAAGTTAAACCCTGAAAGTCACATCGTGATCTCTGAAATTCGGCTTGGATATATTTTGGACTGAACATTGACTAAACTCTTGTCTCATGGATAGTTTGTTGCTCCTGGAACGGACTGAAGATAAATCCTCTTCTGCTTTATGGGAGTGAAAACGGTCTTGGCAGGCATTCGGCAGTTTGCTGCCAAAACCTTGGTCTGCCAGGAATTCTAATCTGTTTACCTAATAAAATATTGGCAGGAGTGCTTGGTATTACTTTGCCTGTGTGAGGAAGGGAGACAGAAAAATTTCTCGTTGCCGTCTGGGACTAGCATTCCAAACCTATCCCTCACCCCATAGTCTGTGGCAAACTGAGAAACGAAAACATGGCTGCGACAGCATAGGTACATTTTGAAATTGACACCTCCCCATTGAGCAGTTCAAAAGCATGCAAATGCGAGTAGATAAATAGGTATCACTTTGGTGAGAAGGTAACAGCGCTCTGTGCACCTTGATGTTTAGTCATGCTGGCCTCATGACCATGGAATTGTCTTTGGACAATACTGGCTCCCTTGGCTAAGAAAGGGAGATGACCACTGTCCTCTAGAGTTGGACACAACTGGACAGGGAAAACCTTTACCTTGACAAAGTAATGCACATTAGGGGGGTGGGGAAGTCTAACGTAAAAGCAAGAGATCTGAGCAAGAATCGATTGGCTTGACATGATGATGAATAACTCCGTGAAAAACTGACTCAGGATTTGATTGCTATGAAAAATGTAAATTCTCTCCGGGAGGTTGTTGAGAAAGGCATAAAAAATGAAACTGTCAATATTAATAATATCCTAATCGAATTTATGGTGCAGATGATGATTTAGAATATTAGGTGTAATTCAAATACCACATATCATAAAAGATACTAAAAGCATAAAATGGCTGTCAAAAAGATTCGGTCATAAGGAGAAGAGTTTCTTCCTTTCTCAAAAACATGACAATCTGTGGTCGTCCCAGAACACCCATTAGTGGGAAAATCAGGATAAGCAAAAGGACTTGGTTACCTAGATATGTAGCTCAAGATGTAAGGATGGCCATCAATTTGGAGACTTGACAACACCAAAGAGAAACCATCAGCAGCTAATATATATTTCTCTTGGTTTGGGGTCAGCAAGTTTCCCACTATTTACCTGTACTTGTAGCTGAGAAACCTAAGAGGAAGGTTGAGGGCCCTGTTTATGGACTTCCCTTTGGCCTCTCGTTGGCCACAGTGAGGACATTATGGTATAAGAGTCTGCATTTAGTGTGATCCTGCTCTTTTGGTTTTCCCTTCTTCAGATGATAATAGTAATGTGTAAATTATAAACCTAATGGGCCTTTAGATAATGCTTGGTGGCAAAACTAGAAGAGTAGAAAACTTAAAGGCTCCCCTCACACATATGTGCTAATCGTTCCTGACTCTAGGGGCGGTGCTCATCTCCATTTCAAAGCTGAACAGCCAGCACTGCCCGAAGACGTCTCCGTGGTCATGTGGCCGACATGACTCAACACCAAAGGCGCACAGAACGCTGTTACCTTCCCACCAAAGTGGTCTCTGTTTTTCCACTTGCATTTTTTTTTTACATGCTTTCGAATTGCT